CATCTCTCTGCGGGGACTTGTCCAGGCCCAAACCCGTATTCACGTGTGTCACACTTTGTACGTCTACCCTTTCCGACTCAGCTGCCGTTCTCGGCGATATTTTGGGGACCTAACCCCGGAGAAGCCACTTTCACTTCACTCCTATTATTTCATTTTCCGTTTTTCGCTACAAGGTACCCGGTCCAGCAAACAAAGTAATCAACCGTCAACTTCGATACTCAAACTACTCCATCCTCAACAATGTCAACGTCATCTCCCGTCTTCACCGTCGCAGTCGCCGCCGTGGCTTCCGTCGCCTCGGGCGCTTTCATGCGCTTCCGAGGGCCGCCCCCCCATGCCCACCGGGTCGTGACCTGCCAGCAAGGGAACGGTCTACCTGAAGGAGCCGTACACGGTCAAGAAGGGCCGGACATTCGACGGTGGCATGAAGACGTACGCGCGCTCGAACGTCAAGTGCGGCGGCCAGAAGAAGAGCGGGTGGCAGTCGGCCGTGTTCATGGTGGAGCCCGGTGCCACGCTCAAGAACGTGATCATCGGCAAGGACCAAATGGAGGGCGTGCACTGCGAGCAGAACGGCTGCACGATCCAGAACGTGTGGTGGGAGGACGTGTGCGAGGACGCGCTGAGCATCAAGGGCGGCTCGGCCAGCAGCGTGACCAAGGTGATCGGCGGTGGCGCGCGCTCGGCCGACGACAAGGTCATCCAGCACAACGGTCTGGGCACGGTCTCCATCGAGGGCTTCTACGCGCAGGACTTCGGCAAGCTCTACCGCTCGTGCGGCACGTGCGGCGACAAGTCTCGCAAGGTGAGCCTCACGAACGTGCTGGCCGTGAACGGCAAGGTGAGCCTCGTGACGGTGAACAAGAACTGGGGCGACCAGGCCACGCTCCAGAACATCAAGATCAAGGCAAGAAGGTGGACGTGTGCCAGTGGTCGCAGGGCTCCACTTTGGGCGAGCCCAAGAAGCTGGGCGCCGGTCCGTCGGGGTCGCTCTGCCAGTACTCCACCAGCACCATCTCCTACGCATAAGCTAGAAGGTTTGCAATACCCAATGCTCCAGGACTCGTGTTTGGATTGGTAGTCCGCCAGCATTGCTCGCCATTTGTATGTAGTGGAATCGGCGTTAATCGTTTTGTCCATGAGTAAATCAATAGAAATTTAGATGTGCTTCACTTTCTTTTTATTGTTTGTATTTTTATCTACTTCTACGATGCTGATGACTAATAGACAATACCGAGTTCTAATACTGTCATGTCTATTCATATTATGTCACCGCTCTCAGTGAGGGGGTCACGGGGATCAATTTTCGATCAACGGTAAGACCGGTACCCGCGCAATGCTCCCTTGCTATTGCTTCAACTCACAACAACTAAGACGCTCAGTATCAATTTGAAGCCACGCTGTACGGTGTCAACTTTGCTTCACAAATATAGATGTTATGTAAATACATGCCGACCTCCGGTATAAACGAAGCGGATTGTATCATAACGCGGGAGAACGCGGTACTATTGTCTGGGCAGCTTCTGTCAGAAGGAAACCGAAAGCACGGAGCGGGTGTTTGCAAAATATCACTGACCACCCAACACGATGAATCTGCCTTAGAAGCGGTGCTTTTGCGGGTTGCCTACAGCGCCCAACAGTGATGTGCATATATATACGTACACTCTCGTTCAATTAATTGTGCAACCACACACTGTGCTGTCCTGTGCGCACTCTTTCGCGTCTTAATTGGTTGTTTTCGTTCGCGCTCACAAATCGACCAAGATTTACCGTAAACAATTCGTGAGACCCGAAACTGTTACTGTAGGGTCACGAAAGAGGCCTTCTCGGATCGAGCGTCGTCGAAGTTTTTGCCATCTTAAGTTGTTTTAATCACTCGATCACCAGCGAGTAATTAGTCTACACAGGTCTTTTAGTCGACTGTGGGGTGCTAGAGCGTCGAAGTTTCGGCGCAACCGGCGGATATCAAGTCTCCGTTGTGTTCGGTACCGACAAGTTGACGGCGACAACGAGGTGAAAATTGGCCCCTCTCACGAGCCACGTTGTGACGCAGTCCGAGTCCGAGTGCGTAGTCGCCTTACAATCGCATTTCAACCCTTCATCCGTCCACACATTCTGTGCATGGGTACCAGATTGGATGTGTCGCAACGCGGAAACGTAGGCTGACTTTGACCGACGATGCCGCAGCGATCAAGCGATGGTTTCGCTGTCCGTTCTCTTAGTACTTTTGCTGTATTAATACTTTAAATTGAAAAGTCGCCATTCGACGCTTATCCTCGAGGCACCGATCATCAGATGGGCCCTCTAAGACGGCGTGAGGTTACGATTTGTTTCGTGATTAACCTTAGTCAATTAAAACTACAGTACCTCACCGCCCTAGTTAATCGACCTTGTTATTGGTGTTTGTCTTGTTCAGGAACCGCCAGAATTATCGGGAGGGGGCACTGTTTTCTGCTAGCCGCAGCCATGCTCAAATAAAATGGCGTACAAAAGGTTATTAAGGGCCTAGGCCACCTCCTCTTATGGACGAGCGGCACAGCTGGATACGAGGCAGGAAAATTAGTCGTATGTGGCGTTCGAACACACTGTGGTACACAGTGGTCATCTTCGTGTCCGACTGTAGACGTCAAGTGATCCAACGAACTCTCTACTGCTGTTGTCACCTCTACATCTGGCGTCCAGGAGCCGGCGTTCACGGCAACGGATCTCGACGACATGATTTGTCCCCATTGCATTAACGTTTACCACTTTCTTGGTGACTGACAGCCCAACCGACTCCTGGTTGCACCTTGACGACACTTTACCAACAACGGCTATCGTCGCGATATTTGAGAACAACCCCGAGAAGACTTCCTCACCCCACCTCATTATTCAATTTTCGCTCTTCGCTACAAGCTACCGACCAGCAACCAAGTAACCAACCGTCAAACTTCGATACTCAACTACTCCATCCTCAACATGGTCAACGTCATCTCCGTCTTCACCGTCGCAGTCGCCGCCGTGGCTTCCGTCGCCTCGGGCGCTTCCATGCGCTCCGAGGCCGCCCCCATGCCCACCGGGTCGTGGCCTGCCAGCAAGGGAACGGTCTACCTGAAGGATCCGTACACGGTTAAGAAGGGCCAGACATTCGACGGTGGCATGAAGACGTACGCGCGCTCGAACGTCAAGTGCGGCGGCCAGAAGGAGAGCGGGTGGCAGACGGCCGTCTTCATGGTGGAGCCCGGTGCCACGCTCAAGAACGTGATCATCGGCAAGGACCAAATGGAGGGCGTGCACTGCGAGCAGAACGGCTGCACGATCCAGAACGTGTGGTGGGAGGACGTGTGCGAGGACGCGCTGAGCATCAAGGGCGGCTCGGCCAGCAGCGTGACCAAGGTGATCGGCGGTGGCGCGCGCCCGGCCGACGACAAGGTCATCCAGCACAACGGCCTGGGCACGGTCTCCATCGAGGGCTTCTACGCGCAGGACTTCTCCCTGACCTTTCAAATATTCAGCGACTTTATCGGCCGCATAACCTTTCCCTATTCCTCCAAGGTCGAGTACCATACCCTTCCGGGCCAGTTTAATCGTTTTGGCCGTTCGT